TTTACCGTTCAATATTTTGCGGAAACGCAACGACTCCCCCTGTTTTTTTAGCCGAACTTTGGCCAAAGTTACTGGAAAACCCGGAACTCGTTTGAAAAAATACGAACGGTGGAAGTCTTGGAACGTCTTTCGTGCGTGTGGATTCAAAAATTCAGGCAGTTTGAGCCAACCGTAATGAATCCCGTAGAGTTGAAAGTGAGTGATATTGATGGGAAAATGCGATTTAAGCACTGACCGATTGTGTGGTACAGTATATGCACGCGCCTGTCACGTGCATGATGTAGCTGGCGACGCTAGCATGCCAATCCGTGAACCCTAAATTTAGATGTACTGTGTGTCTACAGTAAACATTACAGCGTGTCGTACATTTGATTGGTTGAACTATGCAGTGACTAGGTGTCACGTGAGTCACGTGAGGTGCACCTCCCACCATCATGTCCTACATTTGGACAGCTGTCCATGAGATCAAGAGTACATAAACACGAGAGAGTGTAACTCCGCTTGGTCTGGCCATGGCGGAATGTTTCATTTTGTTGACTTTTCTGGAGATGATGAGTCATACCGTACGAGGCATGTACTACGAGTCTGTGGGCGCGTGAGCTTGTACAGTTTTCGTTAGGGGTTGTCGCAAAAGTTTTTTTGTCGTCTCTGAAACGAGAGCATCATTCGTTTTGGAGTGGGAGAGGGGGGGATGCGGGTGTGAGCCAAAATCACAACTCGACCGACACTGTACATTGTACTTGTACATGCATGCGATTATCGTCGTCCAGCATAGCAAGCTGCGTTCGTTTCAGAGTGGGGGGAGGGGTCCGAGTACGAAATAACGATATTGCCTCCATGGTCCTAGCCAACCTGAGATTGAACGGGGGGGGGGGGGGGCTGGGAAAACTATTAGGGACCATTAGCAAGCCGTGAAACGTCAACAGGAACGAGTTCATCGGAACGCACGTGAAACACGATGTGATTGAGAATTAGCTTCTCGCGTTCACAACCCGTCTACGCGAGTCGGCTGCTTTCCAGTTTCAAACAGTTTTCTGATATTTTTACTGGCAATTATTTTTGCGAACTTTTTCTTGAGAACAATTCTCAGCCTGACTGACTTTTACCCGAATGAAAGTGAAAGAAACCCCATGACAGCCACATCGCCGATGGATGGGTGCAGCAAAGGGTTGTGTTCACGAGGTCCATGCCAAAACATAAATGAACGAGCAAGCTGAAGTTTGTCTTGAACAAGCATAAATGTTGGCACTGTGGTTACCCTCGATCCTGTTCTGTGTCATGTTAGTAACGGATATGGCAAAATCAATGGTCCTACTGGTTGTTTGGTACGTTTCGCCATCGTATTTATTCCAACAAGAATGGGTGAGGCATTTTTCGAAATTTGAAGAAAATCGCAAAGACCAAACGAGGCGCGATTTACGGTGCTATTCTCCGCTTCATGGTTGAATTCGCACGTACTTGACTAAAACCCACTTGTTGCGGTCATGGCGAGTAGACCCCTCCGAACTCGTCAAACACGAGTATGTTTCGCGTGGTCAGGCCGGGACTCTAACCCAGCTCCCCTTCGCGTTGCAGTTTCACGGCTTGCTAATGGTCCCTATCACATAGCATTGGCGGGTTTACGGGGGGGGGGGGGGGGGGGGGGGGGGGGGGGGGCACGCTCCCACCCCCTTCAAAACATTTCGACCTGGGTTTGAAAAAACACCAGGCTGCTACATGCACCATGTGCACAGGCGGTAGACTCTACGCGGTGGGAAGCAGCGTCCAAAACCGGTTGCACAGACCGTCGGTGTGTGAGCGGCATTGATTGCACTGCGAAAGAAATGATCGACTCTGTACGAGCTCTATACTTTTGTACAGATTCCAGGACGCGCTCGATGCGTCTTGAGAAAGGCGTGCAGTGATGTGCTGAACGCAGCGCTGCCCAAGTGGGACAAAAACAAAGCTTGTGATCGTCAAGCGCCTCTTTTCGCAACGTTGTACAACGATGTTTGGAGGATGATCCCCTCCAGATTCGAATCGCGAATTGGTGGACTTGAAGACTTTTCTGCGAAGTCTCAGCGACATCCATGGACCAAAGAAGACAAGCTCTGGCCAGCAGAGCCTTGATGGATTTTTACAAAGCGTTCTTGCGACGGCGCAATTCCTGTTCCAACAGGAAACAGCGGGAGTGATCAAGTCGTTGCCAGTCCAGTTCGGAGCAGACTGACTTTCCGCCGGACGCGGAGGTGCCAGTACCTGTTGTCAGTGAGCAGCCAAAACATGATGAAGAACAGCATGATATGCTCCAATAAAAATTGGGCAAGGATGTACTGTACAAGTAACATGACTGATGATTGTACAATGTACAGTAGGTATCGGTTATAGCGCGGGTGTTTGAAAAACGACTTTCTATTCTTATTTCAGATACTTCTTACTCGCGATAAGTCAAGTGTTACATATCAGATACATGTGCGCAGATACAGGATGGTCATCATACATACAACGTATCTCTGCTGTG